GTAAGTTTTGAAATTTGTTTTCTTTTTTCTTTTGAGGAGACGCATATAAGCATGGTTTAGAGGCGTGGTGTTTGCCCATTTCAAGAAGAGATAGAGAGAGAGAGAGAGAGAGAGAGAGAGAGAGAGAGAGAGAGAGAGAGAGAGAGAGAGAGAGAGAGAGAGAGAGAGAGAGAGAGAGAGAGAGAGAGAGAGAAGAGGAGAGAGAGAGAGAGAGAGAGAGAGAGAGAGAGAGAGAGAGAGAGAGAGAGAGAGAGAGAGAGAGAGAGAGAGAGAGAGAGAGAGAGAGAGAGAGAGAGAGAGAGAGAGAGAGAAAGAGAGAGTGAGAGAGAGAGAGAGAGAGAGAGAGAGAGAGAGAGAGAGGGGGGGGGGGAGGGAGAGGATTGTGTCACAAAAATAAGATGCGTTATTATTTTTTTTTTTTTTTTTTCATTCTTTGTCTATGTCTGTCTGTCTAGCTTTCTGCCTGTCTGTTGTCTTTCTTTTTGTCTGTCTATGACTATGTCTATGATTATCTATATCTCTCATTAATGCCTTTATCTCTATCTCTATCTTTATTACTGTCTACCTTTGTCTGTTTGTCTGTCTATATCTATTTTTCTCTCTCTCCCTCTCTATCTCTCCTCCCTCTCTCTCTCTCTCTTCTCTCTCTCTTTTCTCTCTCTCTCCTCTCTCTCTCCTCCTCTCTCTCTCTCTCCTCTCTCTCTCTCTCCCTCTCTCTCTCTCTCTCTCTCCTCTCTCTCTCTCTTCCTCTCTCTCGCTCTCTCTCTCTCTCTCTCTCTCTTCTCCTCTCTCTCTCTCTCTCTCTCTTGCAAGCACGATGCACGCGGAGTATTTTACGGCAGCTGCTTGCATGCCTGAATAAAAAAGAAAAATAAAGTAAACAAAACTAGCATTCAGAATTGCAACATTTTGCATGCTTGCCTGTTTTACGAATCTCATGCACTTGCCTTCGAAACAGTGAATATTTCGAATTCGTAATTTCTCGCATGCATTTCTCTGCGATGGCAATAAATTCAGTATTTTCAAATCAATGAACTATATCATGTCATTTTCATTCCCACCAGAGACGGGAAATATTTTGAAATCTAAGAGTCATGTTATTAAATTCTTTTGGAATATGTTCATTCCAATTATTAGACATGCATTTTATATCTTATTGTTTAAAGGCACACTTTTTTTTTATAATCCGTGCAACTGTAGATCAACTTGTAAATAAATCTGAAATGATAAATGCGAACAAATTTCTTCCCATATTACCAATATTATTATCGTTACTGATATGGTTTTATTATTATTATCATTTGTTGTTGATGTTGTTATCTTTATTATCACCATTACTATTTTTGTTATTATTATTATTGTTATTATTATGATTATTGTTATTATTTTTTAAATTATTATTATTAATATTTCTATCATTGTTATTGTTATTTATATTATTATTATTATCATTATTATCACTATTATTATTATTATTATTATCGTAATAATCATTATCATTATTATTTTCTATCATCATTATCATCCTTATCATTTCTTTTATCATTATTATTCTTATCATTTCTATCATTATTATCATCATAATTACCATGATCATTGTTATTTCATTATTGCTATTATTATCATCATTGTTATTATTATTTTCATTATTATTGTTATTATTATTATCATTATTATTATTATCATTATCATTGTTTTCTAGACATTTTTATTTCTATTATTATTATTATCATTATTATTATTATTTCATTATTATTGCTTTTATCATCATTGCTATTATTATCACTATTATCATCATCATTATGATTATAATCATCATCATCATGTTCATAATGATGTTAGAGATAAGGATAACAATTATCATAATTTAACACAAAGGCAAAATAATGATAATGGTAATAATAATTATAAATTTCTTATTCTCTGTCTTAAACCTCCATTCTTACTGACTAAATCGGCATACTTTGCGAGGAACTTTTGTCCGCATTATAAGCCATTACCTCCGCAAGAACCTCTCTTTTTTTTTTTTTTTTTTTTTTTTTTTTGAGAAAGTCGAAGTAGAGCTCACTTTTTTGGGCGGGGGGGGGGGGGTTGAGGAGGGGGCGGGGTTCTTTTTTCAAAATGCAGGAGTTGCATTCGTTAGAAATTTTCTTCTGGTGATGGCCAAAGTTTGGTTGGAAGCTTTTTTTTCGCTAACCCTCAGACTGGTACTGCATTTTAAGGGGAATTACTTTTGGGTATAGGGAAGGGGAAAAAGACCGTAGTTCGCCCGCACTCTACCTCTCTTTTTCCTCCTCCCTTTTTTTCCTTTCTTTCCTTCTCTTCCTCTCCCTCTCCTACTCCCTCTATCCTTCCCTCTTCCACTTCCTTTCCTTCCCTCTCCCTCTCCCTCCTTCACTCCCTCTCCCTCTCCCTCCTTCCCCCTCTCCTCTCCCTTCTTTCTCCTTCCTTACCTTCCTCCCCTCTTCCTCCTTCCATCCCTCTGCCTCTCCCTCCTTCCCTCCCTTTCTCTCCCTCCGTCCCTCTACCTCTCCCTCCTTCCCTCCCTCTTTCCCTCTCTCTGTCCCTCCCTCCTTCCCTCTACCTCCTTCTCTCCCTTCCTCCTTCCCTCTTCCTCTCCATCCGTCTCGCTATCCCTTCCTCCTTCCCTCTCTCTTTCCTCCTTCCCTCCCTCACCCTCTTCTTCTCCTTCCTTTCCCTGTCCTCCTTCCCTCCCTGTCCCTCTCCCCCCCCTCCCCTCTCCCTCTTTCCCTCTCTCTCTGTCCCTCCCTCCTTCTCTCCCTTCCTCCTTCCATCTCTCTCTCCCTCCTTCCCTCCCTCACCCTCTTCCTCCTTCTCCTCTCCCTTTCCTCTCCTCCTTCCCTCCTCTTCCTCCCTCCCTTCCTCTCCCTCTCCCTCCTCCCCCTGTCCCTCTGCCTCTTTCCTTCTCTCTGTCCTCCCTCCTTCCATCTACCCCTTTCTCTCCCTTCCTCCTTCTCCTCTCTCTCTCCTCCTTCCCTCCCTCTCCCTCTTTCCCTCTCTCTGTCCCTCCCTCCTTCCTCTACCTCCTTCTCTCCCTTCCTCCTTCCCTCTTCCTCTCCATCCGTCCCCTCTCCTTCCTCCTTCCCTCCCCTCCCTCCCCCCTCTCCTCTCCCTCTTTTCCTTCCCTCCCTCTCCCTCTTCTCCTTCCCTCCCTCTTCCTCTTCCTCCCTCCCTTCCTCTCACTCCTTCCCCCTGTCCCTCTCCCTCTTTCCCTCTCTCTGTCCTCCCTCCTTCCCTCTCTCTCCCTCTCTCTCTTCCCTCCTCTCCCTCTCCCTTCCTCCTTCCCTCTCTCTCTCCCTCTCCCTCTCCATCCCTCTCCCTCTCTCTCTCCCTCCCTCTCCCTCTCCCTCCGTCTCCTTAAAATGAAGATCTGGACTTAATTTCAGAGCGCAATTATTTAGGGCAAAACTCTTCATCGAGCTAATTGTCCACTTTGCTTGACTTTTGTTGAGGTCGCTTAAGAGTGGAGGGTCGTTATAGGGAGAGGGATATTATAGGGAGAGGGATATTATAGGGAGATGCGAGAACCGTGTAATCTCTTCTTTTATCTCTTCATTGTTCTTATCACTTTGTGTGGTTTAATTACTAATTTCCACTATTTTTTTCGTTATCCTTGCTCGTATGGTTATTATTACTTCGTTCCTAATTCCTATATATTTTTTTTCATTATTTTCTCTGTTATTATCATTATTTTCTCTATCATTACAACTATTCTTTTTTCTTCATAGAATATTAATAAGTTATGGTTAGTTATTTTTTATGTATTTTTGCCGAAAATATGTCCGAAACTGATCAAATACATTGTGAAGATATTCATTTTATCACTTATTCTTTTTTTTTTTCTTTGTGGAATATCATCAAGTTATCAATATCACTTCATTTGCATTCTTCATCACCGTTTCTATCATGAATAACATTTCATAATCTTTCTCCATCTTCTTATCATCAAGATCTATTATATAGAGTACTGAAATAGAGATGATCAAAATAATAATATTAAGAACAGTGATGATAATGATGATGATGGTAATAATATATATATATATATATATATATATATAATATATATATATATATATATATATATATATATAATATATATATATATATATATATATACACACACACACACACACACACACACAAATATATATATATAATGTATATATATATATATATATATATATATATATATATATATATATATATATATATATATATATATATATATATATGTGTGTGTGTGTGTGTGTATGTATACACACACACACACACACACACACACACCACACACACACACACACACACACACACACACACACACACACACACACACACACACACAACACACACACACACACACACACACACACACACACACACACACACACACACACACACACACACACACACACACACACACACACACACATATATATATATATATATATATATATATATATATATATATATATATATATATATATATGTATGTATACACATTGTGTGTGTGTCTGTGTGTGTGTGTATGTGTGTGTGTGTGGTGTGTGTGTGTGTGTGTGTGTGTGTGTGTGTGTGTGTGTGTGTGTTGTGTGTGGTGTGTGTGTGTGTGTGTGTGTGTGTGTGTGTGTGTGTGTGTGTGTGTGTGTGTGTGTGTGTGTGTGTATGTGTACGCGCGATTATGTTCATACACACACATTTAATGATAAGATAAGCATACAAAAAAGCAAAAACAATAATGAAACAAAAAGATGAATGAAAAACACACACACGCACACGAACACGTGCATCCAGAGCGCCCTAATCCTTTCGTCACAGCTCGGGATCCAATCCCCCCCCCCCCACTCCCCCTCCTGACTGCACTGATTCACTTTCCTTTTCATCTTTTACTCTCCCTCTTCCTTCCTTCCCTCCGTCTTCTTTTCGCTGCCTCGTCATCCGTTTTGTCGTAGATTTTTTTTTTTTTTTTTTTTTATATA